GGTCTGGGGCTGCACTGGGGGAGGAAGCTCATGGTGTGCATAGGCTATCAGAGCAACAGAACAGGAAGCCAGCCAGCACCAGGGGCAGGGAGGACCACATCGATGACAGGTTCGACTCACCCTGTGAACTACAAGAGCTATCCCCGATGGCCTGTGGGTCCCTAGTCCCTATCCCCAGCACTATTCCATTTCATGGTGGGCAGCCTTGTGCTTTCCTGCCCCCTTGCTCTGCCTAGGCCGGAGTCCTCTTTCCTCCCTCTGCCTTCAGGACCAAGCAGAACTCCCCCTACAGGGAAGGGGTTGGACTTCCCTCAATGGTAGGGATGCTGTCCTCTCTGTCACCAGCCCTGAGGGTCTCCCCTTTTTCTAGCTCTCTCTCTTATGACAGTGGCTGTGCTTATTTCCCCCACTCATGGTATCTACTGCCTCTTGATGGGGAGCCGTCCTGGTTTAGGTCTCTGTGTCCCCTAGAAGCCTGATGTGTGTGGAAGGTGACAGGATGATGGGCACTGTGCTCATAAGTGAATTCATCCACAGCTGAGCCCATGGCTATTAAGGCTCATATCTAGAGCTCCCCAAAAGCCTCCCATGCTCATAAGTGGGGCTGTGTGCTCATAGTTGCCTGGATCTAGAGTGTGTGATACTGGGATTAGGAGTGTGCAGTACTAAATTATTCCACCGAGTAGAATTAGCATAGTTCTGGGTGTGACTGAGTGGATTTACTAAAGATAAAATACCCACCCTGGGTATGGGTGGAATCACCCAAAAGGCTTGTAGCCTGGATGGGATAAAAGGAAAAGGAGGCTCACTGCTCACTGCCTCCTGCCTGCTCTGCTATGGACTGTTTCTCCTCAGTAATGTCCTTCTGCCAAGGCACCCTGCCTTGGGCCCAGCAGCTGTAGAGTGAAACCTCTATCAGCCATGAGCTGAAATAAACTTTTCCTCCATTAACTTGTGCATGTCTGGTACTTTGTCTCAGAAACAAGAAAATTAATAAGACAATGGCTGGCTCTGCTGTTAGGAGGTGGGGTCTAGTTGGAGATGGGTACAGAGAATGTGACCTGGGTGGGTTCTTGTCCCTGGCTCCTATCCTGCTTC